TTCCCCCATAAGTGCTACATTGCACGGACATTTGAACCACTGCGCCATGGATTCTCCTCGCCACTGCTTTGATTTTCCTCTACGAGAAGACCAAGAGAGACTGCGCAGCGGCAAACAAGCCACTAGCCAAATTTTTTGGGTTTCTTCGTTTAACTTTACGCAAACGTAAGCGAATAAACAATTTTTCTGCAGAAAAACGCGTACTGCTAGGATTTTCATTAGTTGAATGCATTGCGAAGAAGGCGATGCTGCATTATGGTTGATCTGTGACCTATCGATTATCCAATCGAATTGTGTTCCGCAAGATGCTAGATTTTCTCGTGCAGGATGACTTCGTACAATTATGGAGAACGGACTCGTGCGCTACAGCCAGGCTAACTACTTTTCCAGCATTTGCGATCGATATATACCTGCTCTGCTTGTACTTGCTTACAAGTATTATAGAAAACCCTGCGTAGAAGCTAGGAGCAGTGTATGACTAATATTACTAATTTGCACTACAATTGGCCCAAGGAACTTCACAAAAAAAGATATTTTCATAAATCATTAACATATATGAACAAAAGCTAAACCATATCGCTTGTTCAGATCCCCATTTTGGCGCTACTTTGGTTTTTTTGTGCCCCTAAATTGAACAAATTCGCTTTTAGGAGTAAGGGAGTTTCATTCTTTCATTCTAATACATGCATTTACTAATTTCCACTCTTTGATGTGGCTATTTTTGAGCTCTGCAAGCCTCGACTCTTCATTCCGACCGTGAGCATAAAAAGAACAAAGGGAAATGCACTATTTGAGTAAATCCTCTTATTCAAATGAACTCAGCACTTGAACCAATAGAATCGAAGTCTAGTTCGCGTTTTGCGTGCGCTTTAGCTTGAGCAGTCGAAAACGAATTTTCTGACTCTTGTAAAGTACCAAAATGCGTTTCCAAGATTTTCGTCAGAATATTCTTTAATAAATTCCATGTTCTCCTTTCATAGAACCTGGGCATTGTTCAGCAATTCCAGTATTTTTCTGTGCCACGCAGGTTTTTATAGACACTTTGTTGTGCCTAACCTTTCGGCTGAACGCCGTCTGATGTAAAATATCCTTCGATAATCAGTATTTTGAGGCATAAGCTCCACAAAATTTAATGTTTTTATGGGGAAAATGAGGGGTATATAGGATATTCTACATTCTGTGTCACCCACACTATTTTTAAGCAATTATCGTGTAGGTCACTGATCTGCCGTACGATAAAAGAGGGCATTACTTAGCTGATATTTCGTAAACATCACAATTTCGTTTTCAGGTTTTATTTAAAAAAAAGCCTACATCGTTCTCTACGATGAAAACTTCTACGTAGGTTGAACTAGTTTGTGAAGGTCATTTTTCCATCTTTCTTTTTTACTACCTATAAAACCTAAAGTTGAGTAAATCAGTTTATCATCGGCCACACCTATACCTTCCGTCACATTCGGAAGACCAGAAAATTCCCACAATTCTCACTTTCAGATGGCAAGAAATATCTTCTCTCGACTTGCCAGCTTCTGTCGATTATGTCTTGAAGAATACTGGCCAGGTAAAAGTCCTAGTCCTACTAATTCTGAGCTCGAGAACTGGTCCCCAATTCAATCTATGCTAGATTTAGAGCGGCCTCTACTACATCGGTCATTCCCAAGGAACTGTCGTTATGTTCGCGAAACTAGCTGAAGATCCTGATTTTAGCAATAAGGTAGGCATAAAATAGTTTTGAAGGTTCATACTGCTGTAGGAAGCATAAACTCGTCCAAGTCCAGATCCGCCAGTTCCACGCCCTAGCGCCAGTGGCTACAGTCTCGCATATCGGAGGTTTATATCACATTTTTGGGCACTATCTCATGGATTTTGCAGATGTGAGTGTAATTTTACCAAAAATTTTAGTCTGTGACATAAAAAACATTTAGTACTAAACGAAATCTTGCGCTCGCTTGAGAGTTGTGCCAGCAATTAGTGAAAACAACGCGACGTAGCCGCATCGCCGAGCAAGATGGCGCGAAATTCTGCGACTCAACTGTGCGACTTATTTCACTGCTTGGGATGACGAGAACTAACAATTCTTTAAAAAAAAAGTTCGACAGCTAATTCCTCCGTGATCCTTATTCCTTGAGTAGGACTTTTCAAAAGACTAGCAAATACTGCATATTTTGAACTTTATAGGAAGTGGGCGGGGCTTAATCGCGAGATTCTCTTTGCCATTCCATCGATATCGAGCTCCGAGATATAATATCAAGACAACTAAGCAAAAAAACTATTGATTGCAATAAAATTCCACTTGCTACAGGCTTTTGAACATAGAGTTGTGCTATGAGCGTTATATGGATGGATATTGATTTTTTGAATCTCTGATTACATTTTCTGCACCCTTTACTGCATCGAAGTACAGTGGTGACAGGCGCTGGCTGTGTATCGATCGACAATAAATCGCACGACGATAGCGATCAATATGTATGCAATGCGTTAGGCCACATACGATCTGGAACTGTCCTTATTAGAATATCTACAATAAATATTAGAATATCTACAATCTACACCTATATTATACCTGATGTGAGCAATACTGCGAGAAAACACGAATGCAAAACAAAGACGCTGAGGGGGATCGAACCCCCGTCATACCTCACATGAGGCTGGCACGCTATCCACTGCGCCATACCACCACCTTTCTTTAAGTCCTCACAAAGCGCGTGTTCTGTTAAAGATTCGGGTATCTCCTCTTGTTCGGAACAAAATTAGGCTTTCAGTTCCTGAATCTGCACTTGACTTTTTCAAAATTTTATATTTTGTACAGGTATTACCGCGGGGTCAGAGATTCACTCTAGAGCATTTCTTTAACATTTCTTTGTATACTCTTTACTTTTCAGTTCCTTCTTCACAGAATCCCTAACACACCGCTGGTCATCCCAAAAATCCTGCGCAAAATCATCGAATTCTTCTGCAGGTTGGTAAGAAACCTTCTTCCAAATAAAATCCGCCCACTATCCGATTGACCAGGCCATTTTTAGCCTCCCAGTCGCCCAAGGAGTCTGCACTCTCGACATTGGCTTTATTGACGGGAGAGAAAAGATGATTAACAATGTGAGTATCCCTTTTACGATACCGTAATGTAGA